AACTTAGGAATAAACTGAGTATAAGGAAATATTAGTATAAATATTAGTATAAATTTTGCTACGGTTTTAAATAAAACCTCACGGTCGTCACAAAACAAATAATGGACACTAAAGACTTCAAATTGTATTTGAATCTAACAACAAGAACAACTCATGTTATTTCCTTCTGTTTTTCAATTTCACATGCGGTTAATTCAATAACAGCTCAAAAGTAGATAATTCAACTCACACGTGAATTCGCGGCGTTGTCGAATTTCCTTTGAGACAGAGCGACCCAGCACGTCGCTCCCAACTTCGGAATTCCAATTTTGAAAAGTTTCCCAACAACGAGCCACGATATATTGACAACAAATGTCAAAGAGCGACGCAACTGCAAGTTGTCATGGAACAAGATTCCTCAACTCATACATTTGAGAAATAATCTGCATGCCTGACCGTGTTTATTGTAACTTTTGTGGGTATTTTCATAATCTATGGACAAGCTAATAATTTTCTTACCCTAATTACGTTCTCAAAGTCACGTGTTCTCTAAAATTTTTAAAGAATCAGAAGTATGTACATGCGTCACTATTTACACAGCAAAATTTACGTATTAAATCCAAAGAAAAGTTTACTAGGTTTTCATTTACTTAGAGCAAAAATTTAAAAAAATCTTCTTTTTAAACAAAAGTTTAAAATTAAACTGAAAAATAATATTCTAAAAACACAAAAAGGTTTTTGAATTTCGCATTTTTGTTAAGTTAGTTTGTCATGCTACAGCGCCATCTTACAGTCAATCTCTAAACTACGTTTGTCAGCAGTGTCATCTAACGGCGCTCTATGAAACTACGTGAATTCCGAACATAACGCACAGTTCTCGCAAATAGATGGCGTTATTAAAGCTTCTCGTCAACTTCATCTGATTATATTGTCATGAAGATTGGATAGCTGTAAAGCCGGAATTTAGTTTTTTATCTAAACATTCTTTATTTTTCTTTAATACTTTATTAATATTACGTGCTACTGCATACAACATTTAACATAAAATCTTGAAACTCTAACTATAACCAACAGCTTAAATAATCATAATAATTTAAACCATATGGTGGACATTTACTAAAAAAGTGCGAACTATAATTTATTCGAAAGAATTTTATGAGTACTGACAAAGCGATAGTGCGACCCTTTGGAAGCAAATTATTGCGGACATTTTGCGTGTTCGCATATCCTCCGGCCAAACTTGATTTATGAACGCGTAAGACCAAATAAATTACATGTTTTAGAACAGAATGTAATATAAAATATATTGACTCTAATTAAAATAATATATTACGTTTTGGATTTGTTGCCTACATGGTTTTTTTTGTTAATTTCAGGAATTAAGATTTTACGTTTCTGAATAAGAAGTTTTAAGGATAAAACAATAAAATAATTTATTAAAAATCTAGAACTTATCCTTGGGAATTAATATAACTATTACAAGTAAATGTTTCTGTACTTGAAACGACAAACATGAAAATGTAATTTTAAGTCTTATTATTTAATAACTGTTCAGACTACCAGTTTGAATTCATTGGTAGTTAAAGGAAGCATTCGAAAACTGCCGGTCAGAGAAAAAACTTGATCATTGAGCTAACGAGGCACCTGATAACGCGGCCCGGTCGCGTCCTGATTAAAACGATAAGTTTTCGCCTTTTATGAAAAGAACTCAATCAACGTTACGGTCGTAACTGGGTTACAACTGTCGTAAAACACGATGGATGAATCTGAGTGAATTCGTAAGTGTTCAGTTTGTTTTATTTAATTTGTACGAGCGATCCGCTCCGTCTTCGATCTCGTATAAATTATGTTATTCTTCTAGTAAAGTATGTCAAATTGTTACGAAAGATTAAAAGAAAGGATATATGACATATTTTAATGAGTAGATAAATAAATAAATAGTAATAATAACATAAATAAATAAATAGATAAATTAAAATCCTATTGTAATTGAACTTTTGAATCTAGTTAACACAAATTTTGCTTACAGCTCGAAGCCTTTGAACATAAATCCTTTCATTCTCTATTTCCAGGTAAATCCTTTAATCATTAAATAGGATAATAGTACTAGTAAATACGAATTACTAGGCTTTGCACTGTCACTATACAATGGTGACATAAATTATACTCGTATTTTACAACATGAAAAATGTATTTGAATAAGTTCCTATTGAAAGTAACAATTTTTTGAATTGTATATTAGGAAACTCTTTTGGTCAAATTGCCCAAGTAAATAGAAAAATGCTTTAATTTAATTACACTAATATTATATTATTTATTTTCACGAGTCACGGAAAAAGGAACTAAATAAGACATTTGCGGTGAAAACGTATGGAAACTCAGTCGGTCAGCGAAAGAAAATTACTAGTCGTTCCGATAACGAAGTGCCTGATGACATCCCGGGCTTGAGTCCTGATTAAAACGATCAGTTCGTGTCTTCTATGAAAAGAAAGTAAGTGGCAAAGCGATAAGTATGAATGAGGTAGACCAAGACCACGATGGATACATTTATTACGTCGTTTAAACAATGTTTTTATAGCGAAAGATTGTAATATATATGCTACATTCATCTCTACTTAAAATTCACACTTCCCACTCCGACAACTACTTAAAAAAATTAGACATCTTTAGTAAATAGATATTGGAATGTGTAAGAAGCGCGAAAAGGTGTGTCAAGACTACGTCAAATACAGGTCTGTGATCTTTGCCTGCCCTTCTGGGCTACAGGAGCGAGTCATGTTGATATTGTTTTATAGGTAATATTTAGCTACATGACTGTACTTATCCATCCAGAAAATAAAATAAAAGGTATACTCCTGTTTACATGGTATGTACATTAATCAAATCAACTGACTTAGATAAGAGCTTCATAGGGATACGTACAGACAAACCGTCTCATCAAACTATATAAATGAAATTACAATTGAAAATGATTTACGTATAACACATAATTTTCACTTAGATGCTCGCAAATTATAAACATGACTGCCCGATTCAGAGATTAAGTTTGACGAAGTTAACCCATTAACAAGGCACTAAATCATTCGCACCAGTCGTAAGTTCACTTTGCATATTCCGTGAAATTATTTTAATTAGTATAGAATAATTTTCGCAGGATGAAGGCGAACTATTCGTCGACTGTAATATATCAAGTAAGTAAATTAATGAAACAAAGAGCACTTCAGAGTTACGTAGTTCCGAAATATCGTGTAATAAAAATACGCATCTTTTGTAACAGAAATTATTAAAACTCCATTGTTTTTGACCTGATTTATGAGTGTGTTCGATATCAAAATTAAATTTAATTTGAATCAAAACAAAACACAACTTTACATTGTACTTTATTTATTTTTTACATAAATCTAAAGGAACGAATTCTTTATTCACAAAACAATTGCAACTATAGTCGCCTTCTTTAATTAACATTAAAGTGTTGAATTAAAATGAATACAGAAATGCTTGATACAAAGTAAATGTTGCTTACAAATTAGATAAAATTAAAAACAAGTGTTATAAATGCAATGGCGTCATTTCTAAGGCAAGCGCCGTAGGAAGTAAATAATTTAGCAAGGCGAAGTTAACAATGGCAACAGGGATCTCATAAAGAAGGCAAAAGGTCGGCAATTTGTTTTCAGTGTAAATGGGTAACCGGGTTTATTGTCGAAAGTTAAGAAATGATGCACAGATGGTGTGTATTGTGTACACTGTGTACAATGTGTTCTGTATACTGTGTCATTTTTCATTTGTTTTATTTATTTGCAAATGAAAAACTACATTGTGTAGGTTATTTCTGAATATTTATAGGCTACACATACATTATGTATTACATTTTTTTAATTGTGTTGAAATGTGTTTATGGTATTTTTCTTTTATTAAAATTGTTGTGAAAGTTAGTGGTACAAATTCAAGTATGTTATGTTTAGATGAACGCTATTAAGTCTGACAAAGTTTAGCAGTTAACGAGGATCTAAATCATTCACATGTCGGCAACATGGTGCGAATTAACAGAATACTACGGAAAACAATTTTAATTGAAAAACGGTGTTCGGTCGCCATATAACCATAGAAATGTTACTTAACTAAAAATTATTATGAGTATGGCATTTCATTTAGGTATACATACAATTCAGTCCATATCTACATTAACATTATAAAGAGGGAAGATTTGTATTTTTGTATCTATTGAAATAATTCAAAAACTACTGGACGGTTTTCAAAAATTCTTACACCATTAAAAGTCTATGGTATCACCAAATAACATACAAGTACACATTTTTACAATTATTTTTAATTCCACGCGGGCGAAGTCGCGAGCAACAGCTACTTTATTATAAAACAACATATATGCAACAAAATTCATATAAAAATTAAACTCGGCACATTCTGACTAGTAAAAACGTCTTTGACAAAACATGTAGCTGATAATCTACCTTTTGGTATCCAAATTTGATCGATAATGCATTTAGGTAGTTACATAATTGAAAAAAAATGTTAATTTAGATTAATTAATATATGTAAGTTGAATGGCCGCAATGATAGAACAAAGACAACCCATTATTTTTTGTTAAAAATGGATTTATTATAGTCCAATTAAAAGACAATGTAGTGAAACTGTTTACTTGTAACCATATAAATTAATGCGGATTTTGTACAGTTCCCTTTATTAAAAATCGAACAATAGAAGAATCCAAAATAACTTCTGTGCAATAGTTGAAACAGAAATTATTATAGAATACTTATTTGACATTGTTCGTCGTAAACATCTGCATTAATTCATTTTAAGCCACATGTAATTGAAATGTCAATTAAAACAATTTTGCGTAACATTCTAACTAATGTTGTGGCCTGTCATGCAAATTATTTTGAGCTTAATTATAACAAACTGCCAGAATGCTTGCCAGCATATTATATTTGTAATTACAATTATAACATCGATTTTTTTCTAAATACAGAAATATTTTATACTCTTTGCTTTTCATTTCAAAGACTAATTGATTGAAATATTATTTATAACAGTCTTTTTCTAGGCATTCATATTAAACACTAGTAAAATAAAAGATTTGAATCTTGATAATTGTCTAGAAAAAGGTATTAACTACAATGTTTTCGTATAAGCAAATCTCGTCACTTCTCTTGTATCATAAGATTCTACATTTTAAATAAACAAAAGCATTGGATTACTTCCATTAACAATTCAACGTGGTTTTATATAAGTAAAGTACACTAAATATAAGTAATAAACTTAAGCTTAGTACAGGAGAAACTTTACTAAAAATTACATATAATAAT